TCCTCTCCCTCTTCCCCCCTCTACTCCTGTCCCTGCCTCGTGTTTGTGCACGCACGCATGCATGTTCTCCGTCTCTCTAAAATAATAGTAAAAAAAGCCAACACAAAAGTGAAGACTTGTGTTAAAGGATATTTGAAATGTGCAAAAGGAGAGTGATTAGTGCAGTGAACCTCTGTGTGTTTCATCACCCTGATCACTATGTGGCCCATCTTGTCTCATCTACACCCTCCCGCCCTCTCCCTCCCAGTGTCGTGAAGGAATCTGAGATGTCACACTGTCTTGCCTGCAGACACTCCTGCATCTCTGGTACGTAACTCTTTCATAATGTAGCCTCAGTATCATTATCCCGCTACAAACAATAATCCCTTAATGTTATTAAATATTAGATTTTCAGTTCCTCCAGTTGTCTTGTAACACAGGTATTTTTACATTTGTGTCTTTAAGTCAGAATCTGAATAAGGTTTGTACATTATGATCTCAGTCTACAGATTCCCTCTGTTCTTCCTTAAAACATCTACCTTGCGATGTTAGCAGTCATTTATGATTATTGCCTGGAAAATTCACCACTTCATTAGGAGTTGCAAAATGGGATTTTTCTGTCATTTCTTTTTTATTTGTTTATCAGCAGGATACCTCTGTAAAGAGAGATTTCTTCTCTTTAAAAAGTTGGTTGTCCTGCAATACTATTAGTAAAGAAAGGATAAAGCTTCTTTCCTTTCACTTACCAGCTTTTAAAACAATTACTTAGTCCCCAATATCCTCTCAAGGTGATCACTGAGTGAGTTTGTCTTAGTTATCTTTATGAACTCATGGGCTTAAACATATTTGGTGATTTGGCGGGTTTCAACCTATTACAAGAATTATTCTTATTGGTGCTGTGATTGCTCAACTTTGGCCAGTGGGAGCCTCTTTAAGTTGGCTCCTGAGTCTTTTTGATACCATCCTCGTAGCCTTTGCTAGTTTTCCTGCTGTCTGGTATGAGGAGATATTTCAGGTTCACTTTGTACACTTCCTGCTTCAGGTCCGGAATCAGCCATTTCTCTGAGTGCTGGTCACATAGCTACCATCTGTGGAGCTAAGAGGGACATTCTAGTCCCTCAGAAGGAAAGCAAGTGTTGATTGTAACATTGTCACATTGTTTACATAGATAGTTTAGGCAGGCTGAGCTGTTCTTTTTTTTTAATTTTTTTTAAATGTTTTATTTATTTCTAGGAGAGAGAGAGAGAGAGAGACAGCGTGAGCAGGGGAGGGTCAGAGAGAGAGGGAGTCACAGACTGAAACAGGCTCCAGGCTCTGAGCTGGCAGTCAGCACAGAGCCCGACGCAGGGCTCGAACCCACGAACCGCGAGATCATGACCTAAGCGAAAGTGGGACGCTTAACCAACTAAGCCACCCAGGCGCCCCAGGCTGAGCTGTTCTTATCAAGGAATGGTGGGCACTCTCCTGGAATTTAAATTCCTAGAGGCCAGCCTGGGCCCACCTTGCAAGCAAGCCTTTTTTAAGGACAGTAGTCTCAGGCTTGCTGTGTTACCTCTTTTCTGCACAGCTGCCTAGTAGACATTTTGTGGTGGTGACGAGTACATAGCAAGTTGGTTGAAAAGTCAGGAGTTCAGAGGAAAGGTTATGATGGAGATAAACTTGTGATAGTCATTCCTGTATAGAAGGTATTCAGAGCCTGAGGCTGAGTGAAGTCACTTTAAGAATGAGCACAGAGAGAGATCCAAGAACAGGCCCTTGAGCAAGAAATTTGGCAATGAGGAAGAGCTAGCAGAGGAGACTGAGAAAGAGCAAATGGTAAAATAGTTTGAAGTGGAGTGAGAACCAAGAGAATGTAGTATCCCTAAAGCCAAATCATAAGAGTGTTCAAGAAGGAAGGCATGGTCAGTGGTGTCAAATGCTGCTGATAGGCTGAGTAAGCTGAAAATGGAGAGTTGACTCATGGCAATGCGGAGGTTGTTGGGGACCTTGAAATATGCTGTTTCAGTGAAGTGGTTTGGATCAAAGCTTGATAAAAGTGGGCTTAAGAGAGAACAAGAAAAGAGGGAGTATAGACAGTTCTTTCAAGGAATTTTGCTGAAGAAGGGAGCAGTATAGTGCAACAGTTGGAGGGGCAACGGAGGTGAGGAATAACAACATGAGAAGAAATAATAGTGTGTTTGTATGTTGATGGAGATGCTCTAGGACAAAGAAAAAAAATCAATAATGTAGGAAAAAGGAGAGAATTATTGGAACCCAAGGAAGCAAAAGGGAATAAGATCTAACGTCTAAGGTGAGGAAGAGATGGCCTTGCGTAGAAGCATGGACAGCCCATCCATAGTAACAGGAAGTGGGCACAGTACGTCATGTGATGGGGTGGGTTGGTAGGAATGTTGTTGAGAGGTTGTACATGGAGGTGGTAGCATGGTTACCAGCTGTACTCGAGGACTGGGGAAGAGATGCTGGAGATTTAGAGAATGAAGAGGTATGAAAGAGTTACCATAGAGAGTGAGTGGATAGGGAAAGATAGATTCCTAGGTACCACCTGGAGGTTAGTGGTAATGAACTTAAAAAATGAGACTAGTTTTAAGATGAAAGTGTATTTTTTTTTTTTTTTTTTAGTTACTTTTAGCCATTGGGCTATAGGTGCAGAGTAGGTGATGACTTAACCGGTGTTTGAGTTTAGCTGGGCAAGTGTCTTTGCAAGGAGAGCAGTAGAATTAGTGGTGTATGCTAGGGAGTGATTATAATAATGGACCATGGCATCTGAGCTGGTTAAGGAAGGAAGTGAAGAAGTAAGCTGTAAAAATGTGGTATGACCAGTTATAGGTCCTGCACGTCCAGAGAGTTGTTGGAGTTGTGCATTTAGAGGGGGTAAGTAGGAAGATGGGAGAAGCTAATAAGAGAGTGAAAAGTTTGAACTTGAATTTAGGGAAGGGTATGCAGTTATTGATAATGGGAAGGTACGTGACTATAAGAATGGATCATTGGGGTAAGGTGGAGAATACAATCAATGGAGAAGAGGTCAAGGAACCATGAGGCCAGGGATCATCCACATTGATTATGAAGTCACAAGAATTATATTTGGATAAATGATTAGATTTGGAAAGGGTGACAGTGAGCGAATCTTCGAGGATGCTAAGAGTGACTAGAGATTATAGTTGTCATTTCTTGACGGTTCCTCCTTCCTGTAGACTTCCATATTTCCATATGGGCTTTTCATGATTTGAAAACTTACGCTTTACAAAGGACCCTAAGGACTCTAATCAAAAGTCCTTAGTCATACTATGGTTTTTCATAACCCTGCCTTTTATAGATGCTGTTTCCTTTGTTTAAATGCTCTATACCACAATGCTTGCCTTCCACAACAGCCTTATTTATTCCCTGGCAGATGGTCGTATCCCATTTATAGCCTATAGTATACATTACATTATTTTGAAAATGACACTCACTATTTTTTTTGCTACTTTTTGTTGTTTTTAATTTTTATTTTAACTTTTTTATTTTAGAGAGAGAGTGTGTGTGAGTTGGGGAGAGGGGGCAGAGGGAGAGAAAGAATCTCTACCCTGAGTCTGGAGCCTGACACTGGCCATCCCACCACCCTGGGATCATAACCTGAGTTGCAATCAAGAGTGAACAGTCAGCCACTCAACCTACTGAGCCACCCAGGTGCCCCTCCTTTTGTTTTTGTTTTTTTTTTTAAAAAACCAGGCTGACTTCCCTTAGGCCAAGAGCCTTATCTGTCTTTTGGTCCCTGGAGCACTGTGAAAGAGTTCTCTGCAAGCTCTAGGACTGGATCTATTTAATAAATTCCTTTTGAAAGTCAGTTATTATCAAGTAAATTACAGTACGATTCTTCATTTTTACCTTAGTCAATATGATGCTTTCTTAGATGTACTTATATCAGGTGCCCCACACAGTTAATGAAAAAAGTTTATAACGAATTTCTTTTATCCATGTATTACAAAGTGACTACTCTTAATTCTTTGTATTTCAGACAAGATTTAAAAATAGAGAAGTAGTTATTATGCTAACAGTTTGGAGTGAGCATAGAAGACAGTCACTTCTACATCTTGAAGAGAGCCTCAAGCCTCAGTTTTTTAAAAATTTCTTTCCCTTCCAGTTTGAACCTTCTATTTTGGTCTTGGGAACTGAGTTCACAGTTGAAGGAAGGAGGCCCCAAAGTTACTGAGATAGTCTGTGGAGTAAAGAAAACAGGAAATTTAAAGGTGACTGTAGTACAATTAAACAAATGCTTTGTTTTTCTGTCTCTACTAACTTGTTATTTAAATGTAATTAAACACCATTTGATGTTAGTGTCCTTAGCTTTATTTTCTTTTTTTTTTTTAAATGTTTTATTTATTTCTAGCAGAGAGAGAGACACACACACAGGGTGAGCAGGGGAGGGTCAGAGAGAGAGGGAGATACAGACTCTGAAACAGGCTCCAGGCTCTGAGCTGGCAGTCAGCACAGAGCCCGACGCGAGGCTCGAACCCACGAACCGCGAGATCATGACCCAAGCGAAAGTCGGACGCTCAACCGACTAAGCCACCTGGGCGCCCCTTAGCTTTATTTTCTTATAGAGTCTTTTTTTTTTAAGTATCTCTTTTAATTTCTTAAAGAGTCTTTGGGGTCCCTGGGTGGTTCAGTCGGTTGAGCGCCAACTTTGGCTCAGGTCATGACCTCACAGTTCATGGGTTCCAGCCCTGCGTCAGGCTCTGTGCTGACAACTAGCTCAGAGCCTGGAGCCTGTTTCAGATTCTGTCTCCCTCTCTCTTTGACCCTCCTCTGCTCACGCTGTCTCTTTCTCTCAGAAATAAATAAAACATAAAAAAAAAGGGGGGGTCTTTATGTGAGGATATTTTCTGGCTATTTTGATTTTTCTTTATGATTTCTTGTATATTTATGAATTTTGTAATTAAATGAAATACCAAAATAAACCTTTTTAAATAATGTTTTTGAAAGTATATTATTAAGTTAATATATAAAAAGTCTGACAAAATACTCATTTAACTATTTTTCAGAAACTATGAGTGACGGACCTCAAGTGCACATTTTTTGGGGTGCTCCAGGTAGTCCACTGAACATGACAGTGTCACAGACCCCGACCTCTTTAGTATCCAGTGATGCTCCCTGGAAAAAAATCCAACTTGTATACACTCGCCAGTCCTTACATCTGAAGGATGAAAAATGTATGCATGAAACTCTTGAAGATTATCAAGGCCCAGAAGGTACTGGCCCCCCAGGTCTTCCTCATGGTCCTTTTTTAACAAATTCTATGAAGGAACCTGTTCATGTGAAAGAAGACTTTATACATTGTATTTCTGAAACAGAGACTGGAAAATCCCAGAAGAGCTACCCCTTAAGAATGGGTGATATAACTAGTTCTGATGTGCAAATGCGTGAACTTAAGGGCGGAGTTCAGCATTTAACAGAAGAAGAAAACTATCAGAAGCTTTTTGGTGACAATAAGAAAATCACAGATGAACAGCATAAATACCAGTCAAATGCATGTGGTCAGAACTTTCCAAGAAAAGTCTTTCAGTTAGCTCATAAGCATGCAGCTGTCCTGGAATTGGTCTGTACAGAACACATTCATCCAGGGCCGGGGGCTGTTGAAACCGAGTGGGCGCCTACGGGACACCGAGAGGGACAAATCCAGTGTCTGGAGTTCTTTTCTTCGAAGACAGAAGATGAGCCAAGGTCTGAACCTGTTAGAAGGGTCTCAGACCTTAAAATATCTACTGATACTGAATTTCTTAGTGTAATGACTTCCAGCCAGGTTGCTCTTTTATCTCAGAGGAAGTATAAAGGACAGCATTTTATAAATAAAGGGCCTGTAAACATGGAGATTGAATCAAAGGCAAGTCATGGAGAAATAACTGAAGATAATTTGATTCAGCCTAAAGATGATTTTGCAGGAGATGAAAGTGGACAAAACCAAGCAGCCCATTCCCTTGAACTCTTTAGTCCTGTTTGTCCTGAAACAAAAAGTGGCGACACTCCCATGAAGCCGGATAAAGGTCTTGAAGAAGATATAGGATCTCAAGAACTTTTTGATTTTGAAGATAAAATGCACCCCAGTGATGTATGTATTGAGTCGTATTGCTCAGGAATACTATGTTCCCAACTAAATACCTTCCACAAAAGTTCCACTAAAAGAAGTTGGACCTCTGAAGATAAATTGGGCCATTCCAAAGCTCTGTCTAAAGTCCATCAACCATCCAAGAAAATTAAGTTGGTTTCTGATGCAAGAGATCCTACAGCAGTGGGCCAGAGGAATATGTCTAAATTTAAGGGGATTAAAAAGACATCATTAATAAAAGATTGTGATTCTAAAAGTCAGAAGTATAATTGCTTAGTCATGGTTTTATCTCTGTGTCATGTGAAAGAAATAAATATAAAATCTGGGCCAAATTCTGGCTCTAAAGTGCCTTTAGCAACAATTGTGGTAACTGACCAATCAGAAATTAAGAAGAAGGTCGTTCTGTGGAGGACTGCAGCATTTTGGGCACTTACTGTGTTTCTTGGAGATATAATTTTGCTCACAGGTAAGGTCATCATGGGAGAGTGGTAGCTTAAAGCTGTAGGCTTTTCTCCCCGCTCCCATTTCTACCCCGCCTTTTTACTGTTTGCCTCCGTGGGAGCCAGCGAGGTCCAGACCTTTCCAGCATCTGTGTTAGTCTCCTCACCACTGCCCGTGTCCTGTGCTTTGCTAGTTCTGGGCCTCTGCTCTAACCTGCTTCCTCCTGAACCTCCCTTCCACTCCTCTTTTAAGAAGACTTCCCTGGTCTCACTCCTCTTTCATTTGCTCTGTTAGCAATCAGGTCATATCATCAGACTTGTTCTTTGTTTTCTTATGGTTTTGTCTACATGGGTCTTATTTTTAAGCCTTTTCTTTATATTAGCAGTCTTATGAAAGGACAGTGTTTCTACTACTTAATCCCTAATAATGCTGCACCTGTCGCATTCTTATTGAGGAAGCAGATACAGATTTTCTGTTGTTTTTAATTACTAAAATTATATTAATCACATTTGGAAACGTGGAAAGGAAAAACTCTTGATATTAAACCAACCTCACGTCACCACCAGTAATGCTTTGGAGAGTTACCTTCCAGTTATCTTCCCTATGCTCCTTAAAATGTGTATACATACATATAGGATAGTTGATATTTGTTGGGATCCTATTTTGTGTTTTTAAAAAATTTTTTTACATTTATTTGTTTTTGAGAGACAGAGATGGACAGAGCACAAGTGGGGAAGGGGCAGAGAGAGAGGGAGACACAGAATCTGAAGTAGGCTCCAGGCTCTAAGCTGTCAGTACAGAGCCTGATGTGGGACTCGAACCCACAAACTGTGAGATCATGACCTTAGCCGAAGTCAGATGCTTAACTGACTGAGCCACCCAGGTGCCCCCTTATTTTGTGTTTTAAACTTTGCATGTATGTCAACTTATTACGACAGCTGTATGGAAAAGGTACTGATTATTATCCCCATTTTTTACTTTGAGGAAACGGTGACCCAGAAAAGTAAAGGCTCTTACCCAGTTTCACACATCTAGGAAGTGGCTAAGCCAGGATTTCACCTAGACTCTGGAACCCATACTCTTACTATATAGTTGTAATCATTAAGAACATTCAGTTTTTACCTTGCTTCTTTTTCTGACATAAGAAATCTAACATTGTGTTACATGTTCTCTTTTAACTGAAAATAACTATGCAGTATATTAGACCAGAGACACCAGTCAATTTAAGGATGGGTCCCAGACTGGGAGGAAGCTGAGTAAGCTCAATAACATGTCTAAAGAAAGAATGTGGTAGAGAAGAAGAGTGGGTGAGCCTTAGAAGCTTGGAAGAAGAAAACACGAAGGCAGTCATTAGTGGTTCCCACCTAATGGTTTGCTGGGTGAATGAGAGCCTTGGCTATTGTACATCAGGTGCGTGTGTTAGACTGTCAGGTGCAGCTTCTAATAAGGAAATAAACATGGGCTGTAACCAGGAGGCCCAGCGCGGTCCCGTCCCACTGGCAATGTCATCTTATTTGTTGGCAAGTCGGTTCATCCAGCTCCCTTTGTTCTGATTTAGTGCTCACCGAGCAGCCCTTTGCTTATGATTTGGCTTCCCAGGTGTAAAACTGCCTACAAGGTGAGAATCACCTGCCAGTGTCATTTCTGTGGCGATTAATGCCTCACTGTAAATTAAAAGAAATTGTGTTCTGGTGTTTTGTTGGTCTCACGAACTTGTTTAATGTGAGCTTGTGTTGCAGAGCTGAAATCTATTTTGGGGATGCTGACAAAATCAGATTCCCCAGACTGTGAAGAGAGAGCTGGGCCCTGGATGGTGGTTATTTTATTACCAAGGCAGTAACTGTCACTGTGTGCGCCTCACAGGGGACTTTTCCTGGCAGCTGGAAACTCAATCCCGCCATCCCTGTGCTCTCCCCTAGTGCCGTATGGAGGGTAGCACCTAGGTGACCTTCTGTCAGGTGACTTTTCCAGTTTTCTTAGCCACTTTCTCATTATGGGATATTTAGATGATTTCTATGAGCACCTTTAAAAATAATATCGTTTTTTCCCCCCTCTTTTACTTTATTTCCTTAGTAAAGTAATCTAGTCCATGAATTTCTGAATATGTTTCTTTTGTTTGTGTGGACAGATGGAAACTTCATAAAAAACAGAAACCTATACTTTCCTAATTAAGTAGCGAAATTATATTTACATAGAGATGTGTGGGCAAAATCCTATTTTAATTAACAGCATCCAGTTGTACATTATTATATCTCTATGTTGAGTATTTCTTACTGTCTACTGATATACACTGGAAGACTGAAAATTTTCCCACAGCAGATGTATTCTAGATCATGTGCCATTCAGTAACACAGTTGCCCTTTTGCCTTCATACTTTTAGCCATAGGATGAAGAGATGCTGTAAGTAAGAATTGTCTGCGGGAGACTGCCGACCCGAATTTGCAGGGGACCTGGCACCTAACTGGGAAACCACAGATTTTTAAGAACAGATAGAGAGGCTGTAGGGCTGATCAGTGAGGGGCAATCAGGAGAGCCAGGAGGCAAGGGCTGGGCCATCGAGTCCACTCCACCCTGTCACCAGTGATTAGCAAGTCACTAACCCAACATAGGTTTTACAACCTAGTTTTCCAAGGTCTGTCCTTGAAATTTCTTTTTTGTTCCTTTCTGAAGAGCAGGGATCCTGACGGTCAGGAGTATGAAGATTCTAAAATGCTCTGCTAGCTATTTCTTGCCAGGCTGAGGGGAGCTGAGTGTTTTTTCAGCAAATCAGTGGATCACATTAATCTTCTTGAAAAATTGCTCATTAGCCCTGGGGGACATGGATTGATGTGGGAAGGGGATGTGCTAGGAGAGAAAGGAATATATGATATAAAACTGTGCTGGCAGGGCCAGCGGGAAGACTCAAGGGGCAGAGTTCAACAGGTGGGGGTTTGGAGACAGAAGGTGGGGAGGGAGAGGTAGTTCAGGATGATTCTACATTTTAATTTACCTGGGTAGCTCCACAGCGCCAACAAATAAGATGGGTAATGTGAGAAAAAAAGCAGGTTTGATCAATTTTGAATTTGAAGAGCCAATAGAATATCCAGTCAGGAATGTTCCTGAGACAGTTGGGGATAAATGGGTAAGTGGGTTTGAAGCTGGGGAAAGGGCCTGGGTATAACTTTGCAAGTAAATACTTGGAATGTGTGCATCCTTGCTTTTCTTTCTTATTATCTCAAAAATTGGCTACTATTAGGATACCTTTATACCTCTAGCATTTTATGCACCAGTTATATCCTGCTTGGGATTGATATGTCTGTCTGTCTCTAAATTACAGTTTTGCCCTACTCGAAATTGTTTCTACTTGTTGGTATATATAATTCCACTTTATGATTCTTCTATATCCAACTTAGATCATAGAGCTCTCTTTTTCCTATTGGGAAGTGTTCCTTCAAAATTCTTTGACTTTTAACATCTATAGATGAAGATTATCATGCTGTTGAGGGGGAAATAATCCAAGCCCTTTAAGGATATCTTATATTGATATGTGTTTATAGCAGAAGGGGTAAGTGCATACTAATATTGTTCTAGGTACTGCTGCTTTGGGACCATTACTTTGCTTCCTGGCCCCAAATGATTTCCTTTTAATTTCTCAAAATAGACATTATGACATTTTTTTTAACGTAAACAAAAGCCATTAAACCATTGTTTGTAGAGCAGCAAGTTTCCATATTGATAGTGTTCGAATATACAGAAGTAATTCTGTTACTTCTATTTTATCATTTTGTGTCTTTAGGCAGATGATTTAACCCACTTGAACTTTAGTTGCCTGGCCTGTGAGAGACATTAATAATATTTTGCCGTGATTGGCAAGTTAACCACAGTGTGAAGGAATTTATGACATGATCAGAACTTTTTTTTCCCCTTGTCTAGATATTACTGTTCATGAAGATCATTGGGTTGGTGAGACAGTACTACAATCAACTTTTACCAGTCAGTTATTAAATCTTGGGAGTTACCCATCTGTCCAATCTGAAGAATGTAAGATACCTTTTAAATATAATAATTTTTTAGTATTTAATAGTATATACACATATTAGAAAAAAGTTAAAATAGTAATTTTACAAAGTGTTTTTAAACAGGTTAGCTGGACAGTCTTGGTTTATTTTCTTTAGTAAGAATGAAAATAGAATTCGTAAAAATAAACTTGTACATTATAAGTGATTTATTATAAGAAATACTGGAGGTCAGGTTCCATTTTCTTATTTTTCTTAGAGTGTCTACATAGTGGTGGTTCTTAACCTTGTAGGAAGTCCTAGCCTTCTTAGAAAAGCTATGTGCCATTTCTCCAAAAAAAAAAAAAAAAAAAAAAAAAGGACTTAAGTAGATAGACACAAAACTTTGCATATAACTCCAAATGGTTCCCTGGACCCCTAAAGTTCTCTGTGGGGCTCCCTAGCCTCTGGTTAGGAACCCTTGAGGTCATGAGAAAAGCCTGGGCCTCCCAGTCAGACTGTTGTTTTGAATCCTTGTTCTTCAGCCCAGCACTGCTAGGCAAGACTGCCTTCCTTCTCCGACATCCATTTTCTCTTCTTTAAAATCAGCAGTGAAGAAGCCCAGAAGCTATCTTTTTCTCCAAGAAAGAAAAAAAAAAATGAAGTAAGGGAGATAGTATAAACTGGTAGTTAGAGTCTCTGGAGTCAGAATGAGCAAGATTTGAATCCTGGCCCCAGCACTTGCACAGTCTATGTCTTGGCAAGTTACTTAACCTCATTGTACCCCTGTTTCCTCATCTGTGAAATGGAAATTAAAATACATACATAGCTTATAGGGTTGATGTGAAGATTTAATGAGAGAATGAATAATGAGGTATTCAACCTGCATGTAATATATAATAACAGTGCAGAAAGATCAGTGGGAGAAGTAATAAGCAAAAGATATTTGTTGGAATACTGTAACAGTGTCGTAGAAAGATAGCTATCAGTATATAAAAATACACTGATTTTACAAGAAATTAATTAGAGTAACAAGAAAGTTGTATGGCATATATGGAAGATACAGCATGGAATTCCAACCTGTGAATAATAAGAATTCTCAAAGGAAGGCAGGGTGAGTAGAAGAAAGTAATAACAATTAGAACAATAACAATGGTATTTGGAAAGGGTAAGTTTTCCCTGTATCCCAAGGAAACTAGTTAGCAGAAAATCTGCACTGACATATTCTCATAAAGTAACTGAAGTTGAGTTCTTTGTCTACCCAGTTTATATGTATTAGGTGTTGACACTGTTTGAGGCACTGTGCACTGGGGATATGGGGGTGAGCAGTGTCGCCCTGGTGCCAGCCTTCATGGTGCCCGTGTTCCTGTTGGTGGGCAGATATGGAAGACCTACAGACATGCCTATAATACTAGCGGCTGATAATGAATACTGTGAAGGAAACTAACAAAGGGCAGAGAAGGGAATACCACAGATCTGGCTGTGAAGGCTGCTCATGGAGCACAATTAGGGAGTTAGGAAGTTATTACAGTAGTTGAGGTTGAGAGATAATGGGTGGCCAGCAGAGATAATGAGAAATGGATGGATTTGAGATATAGCTTAGACAGACCAGTCCTAAAGAAGAAATAGAGAAAATTATTCAAGAACTACTGTACAAAAAAGTTGTTTCTCACATCATTTCACAGGAGAATTCTACCAAGAGACCAGATAGTACCAGTGCTCTGAAAACTATTCTAGAATATTGAAGAAGGAAACTTCCTAATTCCTTTTATAAAGTAAATAAAACACACCTAAACCAAAGACATTACCAGTAAGAATACAGACTAGAATTATACATGTATATTGATATACAAAGTCTAAACAAAATATTAGTAAACAAAATCTAACATACATTAAAGAAATAATGATCAAGTGAGATTTTTTTCCAGAAATGGAAAGATGTGTTCAATATTAGAAGATCTATGACCATCATATACCATGTTAATAAATCTAAGGGAAAAATTGTATGATTATCTCCTTAAGTATTGACAAAATTTAGCACCCCTTTATCATAAAAAGCACTCTAGGAAATGGAGTTGAGGGATACTTTCTCCTTCAGGATCAATAAATGTAGTATCAATACAGTGTTACAATTATAATAGAATTGATACTGTGTCACTGAAACAGATGTATTTAGTCCTAATGCCAGTATCTTATTTAATGGAGAAACTCTAGAAGCATTTCCACTACAATCAGGAACAAGGGAAGGATGTGCGCTATTTCTGTTGCTCCTCATCATGAACCAATACACCTAGAGAAGCAGAGGTATCTGAATGTGAGGAAGAGTAAAAACTGTATGTGCAGATGCTTTGATAACATGTCAGAAAAACTCCAGGGAATCAAAGAATCAACTCAAACAATGTAAGAAATCAGTGGTGTAATAGGATACTAAGATTAATGTTGAAACAATCAACAGCCTGCATATACACAAACACTAAACAGAGCACATGATGGCAGGGCAAAACTCATTTGTGAAAGCAATAAAGATGATACTTCAGCATAAATTTAGCAAGAAATTTGCAAAACCCATATAAGGAAAAAATTTTAACCACTCTGGAAAGAAACCAAGACATGAACAAATGGAAACACTACATTCCCTGTTCATGAATAAGATGACTCAACATTGTAATGGTATCAGTTCTCCATAAGTGAATTTATAAATACAGTGTCATCTCAATAACAATATTAGGAAGCTGTGCTATGGCATATACCACTTGATGCTAACCTTCATATGGAAAAACAAACATGCATGAAGAGTCAGGAGAACATTCAAAAAGAAAAAGCACAAGGGACCATGCTTGTGAGATAGGCATTAAACTGAAAAGCCTCTATAATTGAAACAGTGTGATACTGGTACATAAATAGACAAATGGACCAGTGGAATAGAACAGGAAGATCAGAACTAGACCCGTATACATATAATTTAGTATATGACAAAGATGTTATCTGAGATCACTAGGTAAAAGGTAAACTTTTTAATAAATGGTGGTGAGGCAACTAGGTAGCCATTTAGAAAAAAGACAAAATTAGAGTAGTATCTCACACAAAATAGAAGAATAAACTCCAAATGGATTAAAAATCTAAATATAAAAAATATAACCATTCAATTACCGGAAGGAAACATAGATGAATTTCTCTATCATCTTGGTGTAGGGAACACTTTCTATTATTACTCAGAATACAGAAGCAGTAAAAAAAAAAAAAAAAAGGAAGAAAGAAAGAAAACCGATAAGTTTGACTATAGAAAAATAAAGTTTTGCATGACCAGAAGCACCATTAACAAAGCCAAAAGACAATCAGCAGACTTGGAGAGAATATTTGCAACATACACCTTAGACAAAAGGCTAATATTCCTAATACAGAGAGAACTCTTACAAATTGAGTGACAAAGGACCTGATAGGAAAATGGGGAAATGGCCTGAGTTATTCAAATTAAAACTACATAGAAATATCATTTCTTACTATCAGATTGGCAAAATTTAAAAATATGATAACACATGCTGTTGATGAAGCTGTGGGAAAACAGGCCCTCTGACACATTGCTGGAGGCAATGAGAATTGCTACAGTTCTTCTGGAGAGAGATTTGGTGATAAAAAATTACGTATGTGCTCACCTTTCAACCCAGCAAGCCTACTTGTAGGAATCTGTCCTGAAGATCCAGCTACAACACGAGGCAGTATCTGTAATTGCAAGACACTGAGAAAAATAGGAATGTCCGTATATAGCAGAATGCTTGGTTAGATCATGGAACATTTCCGCAGTAGAATACTATGCAGAACTAAATTAATTTTATTATTTTATTTATCAAAAATTTTTTAAAATTAAAAATATTTATTTATTTTGAGAGGGAGACGGAACATGAGCAGTAGAGAGGGAAGGAGACACAGAATCTAAAGCAGGCTCTAGGCTCTGAGCTGTCAGCACAGAGCCTGACGCGGGGCTCAAACCTGTGAACTGTGAGATCATGACCTGACTTGAAGTTGGGTACTTAACCGATTGAGCCACCCAGGTGCTCCATTATTTTACTTTATTTTTTAGTAGACTCTACACCCAACATGGGCCTTGAACTCATGACCTTGAGATTTAGAGTTGAATATTCTACTGACTGAGCCAGCCAGTGCCTTGAATTATACACTTAAAAAAGGTGAATTTTATGTATGTGAATTATGTCACAATAAGGCTGTTATAAAAATATTATTCTGATAATGGATTTATGCTTCATCAGACTACCAGAAGCATCTGTAGTATGTAAAGGAATACAGATCCCTTTCTTTTTGCCCGGAGATATACCCCCTCCTCCAAGTATTACCTAGAAAACTCCAAGACATTTTTCCAAAACCCAGCTCCAGTATTCCTTCAGTAAAGCCTCTTCCAGCTTGCCTGGGCAGTTGCTTTTGTGTGTTGTCAGGGTGCTTACGTGTAGCTCTTATACCCTAAGCCTAGTGTTTGTCATTGACTGTCTCTAGGTTGATAATTCCTTCTGTGCAGGTATAATGACAGGTATGTCTTAGTATCCCTAGCACCTGACATAATGCCTGGCACACCGTGGATGGTTTTCTGATGAGTGAATGAATAATGAGGCTTTAGTGTGGCATAAGAAATACATTAGAATGAAGATGTAAATGGTAGAAGGAAAGAAGAATTGTTTTTTTTCCTAGTGAAATCAGCAAATAGACCTAACCTTCTGAAAACTACTTAAGTGCTTTTTGCTAAGATTGTACTTTGATCAACAATCCACCATATATTCAATTCTACCTCCCTTTCCTTCAAGGAAATTTAATGTTAATCAGCAAACTCATCAATCTGTACGTTGAAAATGTGTGCATTTTTTTTATGTGTAAAGTATATCTCAAAAAATAAGACATACTGAGACAAATCACTTAAAAATAGAAGGAAAACTTCCAAATGGCATAATGACCAAAGAACTAAATAACTGCTCTAATCATCAAGAGGAATGTTCCAATGTAACACATGCTCAAATGTCAAATGAGAGCTGGAGAGAAAAACTCTCCAAGTTCAGGGGAAGAAGTCACTGAGAGCCTCTCTAAAGTGGTTGTTCTTCTGTGTAGTATTTGAATGAGGTAGAGAGGATGACAGCATTGTAGCCAGTGACAGTCGTAAGGACAGAGGCATAGAAGTGGGGAAAAGGAAGGAATGTTCAGGAGGTCAGGTAGGTGACCCTTATGAGTATTCAGGTGAGAAACATAAGAGCCTTGAGGAAGAATGCAGTGGTTGGGATGGTTGTGGAAGGTGTGAGCAAATCAGACTGCAGCGATTAGGGGACTGAATGGGTATGAAATGGTCATGGAGGAGTAAAATAATAAATAAGTAAATAACTGAAATACCGGTCTTAGTTAATTGGTAGAAAAATGAAATCAAGAAGGGAACAGGGCAAGTTATTTCTGGAGATGGTAAATAATTCTAATCCCATTGGTTAAAAATAATGAAGCTTATGTTTTACATCTAAACATTTAAGAGTAAGTTACATGTTTGTAGAAATGAAAGCATTTTTTTTTTACATTTAGTCACTTTACAAGATAAAAAGCATGTCTACGAAAATATTGTGTTGGCAAGAAAATACAATTTTGCCGTCTTTTCTGCATGTGTATGTCTTTCTTTCCTAGATTCCAGGATAGTTAGTGGTGGTGTACTTCAAGACTTACTGGCATACGTGTCTTCAAAACATTCCTATCTCAGAGATCTCCCTCAGAGGCAGCCTCAGAAAGCGAACGGTATAGAATTTGTGGAATTGGAGGAGCTGCAGCCGGACGTGTTAGTCCATGCGGTCCTGAGGGTTGTTGATATCACTATACTGACAGGTAAACACTGGGGGCTCCTTCTTAATTTTAGATTATAAAGTAATTAAGATACAAGACTTTCTTAGGATATCATTTGGGTAGCACAATTGTATCTATCATTAGACATTATAGTATGGTGTCACCTGTGAGAGAGTAATGCCAACTAAAATATTTCTCTTCCAGAGGCATTATACAGTTATAGAGGACAGAAGCAAAGGAAAGTTGTGTTAACAGTGGAACAGGTCCAAGGTCAACATTATGTGCTTGTATTATGGGGTCCTGGAGCATCCTGGTACCCTCAACTTCAAAGGAAAAAAGGTAAATACACCAAAAAGCATTTAATCTTTTTATAGTTAGGTAAATGATTAATGCTTACGAGCCTAAGATGAAGAGCTTCTTAAGAGATTAAGATAGTCTGCATTTGAAATAGTACGTGGTCATAACTGAATATTCTTCTTTAGATTTCTTCTATTATAATTTTATACCTCCTGTAAGCAAGTTAGTGATCTAAAAAGTCCTCTACAATTAAGGGTGCCAGAATAAAAGCATCCATTTATTCCCAGGTATAATACTTTACCTTTTTAGTGAAGGTCTCATCTCATTCAGGAAACGTTCTTTGAAATTGAATTCTGGAGAAGCTTCTACAATTTTTATTCAGCCAAAGTACCCTGATAAGTAAACTTCTCTCTGGTTATAAGGCAGATGTTAGGGGAGCTGCATTAACCCTTTCAAGTCTCAGTGTTACTGTTTAATAAATTAGTATGTTCCAGGTTTTTATACCAGTTGTTTGAAAAGTGTGGACTGTTAGCCATCCATAGGATGTTTGTGTTTAAAATATGACCCATGATTACATTTTCTTTAAAGCATGAGTTAATAATAATTTATGATGTATTTAATTACATGGAATTGGTGTTTCAAGAAAATAATATATCCGTTTTGATATTGTGAGATTCTTTAGTTGTAACAGAGATGTTTAATTAGTGGCTTATGAGTCATTTTTTCCTGCTAAATTAACCTAGAGATTGATTAGGTGTGTGACTCTTTTTTTTTTTTAACCCAAAACAGTTAATGTCTCTTCCCGAACTTCTATCTACAAAATAATTATTGAAGGATAGGATCTGTCACATTCTCTCTTTTAATCATTAATAGCCCATAACCAGGATTTGAGATAAGTCTGACTTTTGACTTTTATGTTAGGATCAAACAGTGACAAATATTTGTGCAGTTGAGAAATCCAACAAACATGTGTCATTGGTAGGCCAGCCATCATTATTGACCACTATCTCATAGCTGGGAACATGAGTCTAGTGCATGTGGAACAAAATGTAGGTCAAAGGTGTTATTCCATTGATAATGGCACTGTAGCAAAGCAGACTGCTCCATGCTTAATGTGGATATTCTTTGAAAAGGAGTAGTTCTTTGGTTAATAAAAAAGACATTATAGTTCTCTGTGGATAATTCAATGATATTTAGGTTAATATTGAAAATTTGTGAGTCTAGGAATTAAGATACTGTTGTTCTTTGTTCGTCCATTCATTTAGCATACTTTATTATGACCATCATTTTTAAGTTGTGATATCCACCTCAATACCTCAAGATTATTCTTTTTAATATGGGATAATACCAATTTTGAAGGATCATATAAGCAAGTGATTCTACTTTCAGAAACTGTTAGCATTTTATGTATTCATTTAGTTCTGCTTGAGGCATTCTCTATATTAACCTTTACTCTGGGCACTGACTGGTTTTACTTGTTCCTGAGGATAATAAACTCACATGTAGGTGATAGAATCAGAAATGACTATCAGGTAGTTGTTATTGAATGCTGGAGATCACAAAGGTGATGTTTTTGGGGAGGAATAATAAGAAATCTTAAATTCACATTCTTTTGAAATATGCATGGGAATTTGGTATGCCTCATATGTAGCAAGTGTTGGTCATAGTCTAGGTCCTAGTGAGTGTGGACTAGGGGCATACATTACACTTCTTAGGAATAAGTGGGTACATAGAATAAGCTGTTCAGAAGTGAATGCCATTCTAATGCAATATTCACCTGAAAGTATTTAATAGAAGTCTAATACTTTAAAAATACAACAAATTATGGTAAATCACTCTGGTGATATTACTGAATAGGCAGAGTAATGCAGATGATCCCAACATTGTAGTTATACTTCATGCAAAATCATAGTTAGGTCTGCACAGAGGTTTGAAATCTATTCACATCTTTAATTCATGATTCAATATAGAAGTGTATTACAAATTGTCTCAATACCAGTCTCCCTCAGACTTACTAGTCTAACCTGCACATGACTCCTTTATATTACTTGACCTTGACAATCTTCTTCTGCCTTGGGATCTTAAATTCAAATGTTTCCTTTTGCCCAGAGTGCTTTCCCCTCCAGCTCCCTGCATGGATGGCTCCTTCATTTCTCAGCTCCAGCTTCATATCCTCAGAGGGGCCCTACACACATATACATAACCCCTCTCTATCACATCAACTCTTTGAAGGCCATTTGTGTCACTTAACACAATCGTGATTATCCAGTTTGTTGGATTGCTTGATAATTAACTGATTTCTTCATAGATTATAAATTCCGTGAATACAAGCATCCTGTCATGCTTGTTCACCACTGTATCCTCATTACCCAGCACTGTGCCTGCCCTCATAGGGGTTTTCTTTTCTTTCTTTCTTTTTTTTTTTAATGTTTGTTTATTTTTGAGAGAGAGAGAGAGAGAGAGAGAGAGAGAACGAGCACGTGCGCCTGCGCACACATGCACACGAGCGGGGGAGGGACAGAGAGAGAGACACAGAATCTGAAGCAGGCTCCCTGCTCTGAGCTGTCAGCACAGAACCCAAACATAGGGCTCGAACTCACAAACCATGAGCCAAAGTCAGATATTTAACTGACTGAGCCGCCCAGGCTCGAATGAATGAAGAATAAAATATAGATCAAACAACCAGTCAAAATTCTGAGTCTTAAGAAGTAAGAGTGTTTGGAGGAAGTAACTTCATTTCAGATGATAAAAAAAAAAAAAATTACAAGTTTGAAAATGCATGCACACAAAGGTTTTGCAATCCATGGAATATATTAAGAAATTACATTTAAAGTTGGGTACAGACGGCTTGTAGTTAGAACTTGACCTCTTCTCTGGGTAGCTTCAACAATTCAGGGGGATGTATTTGAAGTATAGAGGAATGTCTCAGGGGGCAGAGGGCAGGAGCGCTGATGGGTTCAGGGGTACTTGGAACTGAAAGCTGAAAAGCTTTGTGGTTCCCAGGCAGCTTCTCCGTCTGTCTACTTTATTCACTCTGTGCAGACTTTCTCTGCTTTTCAACCGTAGAGAAAGCAGCAGGAGATGGGTACTCTGTAGCTCCTGCTCTTAGTTTTCCTTTTAACTGAGACCAGTCCCGTTTCCAAATTCCCAGCAAGGCAAATCTGACTGTCCAGATTGAATTTGATTCAATCAACTGTGGCCTCAGGGACAGGGTGGGAAAGTACAGTAGGAGTGCCTGAGCTTATTTCAGAGGGTGAAGGAGCAATTGAGAAGGTCATTTGTGGTCTGGGTGGGCACAGAAAGGATTCACTATCAAACATATGTATGTTTACTGGCCTGGAGAGATGTAAATGATGTTAATATTTAGTTTAAAAAAATGAAATATAAGATATATGTATATAAAGCATATGCTATGGGCGCCTGGGTGGCTCAGTCAGTTAAGCGTCTGACTTCGGTTCAGGTCATGATCTCACGGTTCCTGGGTTCGAGCCCCATGTCAGGTTTTGTGCTGACAGCCAGCTCAGAGTTTGGAGCCTGTTTCAGAGTCTGTATCTCCTTCTCTCTCTGACCCTGCCCTGTTCACACACTCTCTCTCTCATAAATAAATAAAACATTAAAAAAAATAAAAAAAAACATGTTGTATTGGTACAATAATGGTAATTAAAAACATGGATAAAGGAAAAAAATAAGTACATTATAAAATTTCATGTACAATAGGATCCCATTTTAATAAAGCAGATGTGTAAGTGTGTGTAGATATTAAAAAATTGGGAAATACAGAGACTAAAATGCTAGCAATGGCTATGTGTGTTGTTTTCTTTATGCCTTTAGTTTGAATTTTATGGATGTGTGAATCTGCATGTATTTTTAAAATATGATATTATGATACATGATATTACATGTATCATAATATAAATATAATGAACTGAAGCATCCATTATCTAGTATATTAAAACATTGGCCAATCTTATTTCATCTATTACTGCCCTTTTGTATAAATATTTTATAGTGAATATATTTTATTTGTAATTAAGAAATAAGGCAAACTTTTTCCTTTTGAAAAAAGAGCAGGTAATGTTTGAAATATCGAGCTAACAATTTGAGAAAAGAATAGAATTAAATTTATACTTTATATTTGTACCAAAATAATTCCATATGCATTAAAGATTCAAATGTTTTTTAAAAAAAGAAACCATGAGTAGTAGAAGAAAATATAAGCAAACTTATTTGGAAGCTAAAGATTAGAAGTTTAAATAAAATGCAGCAACAAGAACTGTACATAAAAATCACCATATACTAAATTAAAAGGAAAGTGAAAAACCAGAAAAAAAATAATGCCACCTCACGCCAGTCAGAGTGGCTAAAATGAGCAAATCAGAGAACTCTAGATGCTGGCGAGGATGTGGAGAAACGGGCACCCTCCTACACTGTTGGTGGGAATGTAAACTGGTACAGCCCCTCTGGAAAACAGTGTGGAGGTTCCTCAGGAAACTAACAATAGAACTCCCTTATGACCCAGCAATAGCACTGCTAGGAATTTACCCAAGGGATACAGAAATGCTGAGGCATAGGAGCACATGTACCCCAATGTTCATAGCAGCACTCTCCACAATAGCTAAAACATGGAAAGAGCCTAAGTGTCCATCAACAGATGAATTGATCAAGAAGATGTGGTTTATCTATACCATGGAATACTCCATGGCAATGAGAAACAATGAAATCTGGCCATGTGTAGCAACATGGATGGACCTTGAGGGTGTTATGCTGAGCGAAATAAGTCAGGCAGAGAAGGACAAATATCATATGTTTGCACGTATAGGAGGATTAGGAGGAACTTGACGGAGGAACAAGCGGGAGAAGAAGGGCGGAAATGGTGGGGGAAAGGGAGAGAGGCAAACCATGAGAGACTCTTGAATGCTGACAAAAACTGAGGACTGATGGATGTGGGGGGGAGGGGAGGATGGGCATGGAGGAGGGCACTTTGGGGATGAGCACTGAGTGTTATGTAGAAACTAATTTGACAATAAACTATTTGAAAAAAAAAAAAAAAAGAAAAAAAAGAAAAAAAATAATGCATTTTGTCAGAAAATAATGTAATAAAGAAAAGACAGATATCTGTAAGGATAAATGGGCAAGAGATATGAACAGGAAGTCCCTAAAGAAGAAATAAAAATGGCCAGTGAATGTATGAAAAAAAATTTACTTATTAGTAGTTGAAGGCACACAAATAAAATAATGACAGTACTTGAGTTTTCTCTTGAGAAGTTGATAGAGAATATATAAAGGAACAGCGACTCCCATAAACTATTGGAAATGTAAACCGGCAAAACCTTTCTTGAGGACAACTGACAATGCATTTGAAAATCTCAGAATTTGGAATACCTTTCGCCTAATAATTACACTTTTTGGAATTTATCACAGCTATACATAGAGATGTAGCTAAAAATATAGTTATCACAGTATTGTTTATAATAGTAAAAAAATAAAAAAAAAACCAACCACATGCCCCCTAATAGGGAATTGGCATAAAATTTTTTTTAAGATTTTGGAATATCTGTGCCAAAGTATTGACATATTATGAGTATTTTACAATAATATAGAATAATGGGGTGCCTGGGCAGTTCAATTAGTTGGGCATCTGACTTTGGCTCAGGTCATGATCTTGTGGTTCATGAGTTCGAGCCCCATGTCTGGCTCTGTGCTGACAGCTCGGAGCCTGGAGCCTGCTTCGGATTGTGTGCTTTTGTCTCTCTCTGCCTCTTCCCCACTTGCACTCTGTCTCTCAAAATAAATAAACATTAAAAAAATAATATGGAATAATACTTAAGGACATATAAAATGTATTTGACATATTAAGTAAAAATCACATTGAAAACAACTGGATGTCCACAAGAGTGTTAACTGTGTTGATTTGGGGGTGTTGAGAGTATAACTGTTATTTATTTATTTGTTTATTTAGCTTATCTGATTTCTAAGCATGTATTTTATAGTAAGACAAGCAAACTATTTTCAAAATAGTGATTGTTTTTAAGCAATACTTGGAATATATTTTCTCTAGCTCTTTCTAATGATACTCTGTCTGTAAGGATTTACCATTTTTAAGATTGTCTATTTTTCCAAAAGAAACTAAGGAAAAAAACTAAGGAGGCAGTGTTGGGGAGGGGTGTGAATTAGGTTTATGGCCTGAAGGAAACTCAAAAGACAGCTGTTACTATTAGAGAACTTAGTGCTAAGAAATCTTTTTGTTTTATTATAAAGTTGAATTTATTAATATAGAATGTGATTATTTGGCCAGAAGCTCTGTGCTATTCTGGTTTTAAGGATTCTAAAAATACATGCAATTGTCTCTCAATGCTTTTTTTTTTTTTTGTCCTGGAAAAACTAGCTAAATAAGAAAACAAAGGTGTTGGAAAAACCAATGAGAGATATTGCTTATGCCAGACATGTGCCCATTTCTATGCCTTACTGTTTTAAAAAATCTTTGCCTGTAGATACCAAAACAGGAAATAGCGACTCTGAAAAGCAGCTGGTTATGATAAATTATGACTGTTTAAGAGACCAAGAAATCTTTAGAGAGCATTTTTATTAAAATTATCTCCAGCATCATTATCCTGTTGCCTTAAAACAGTGTTCACATTTTGTCTCTTTACACCCAAATTCCTTAGTGTGATAAAAGTTGCATTTAACTGATTTAATCAGATCAATCTATTTAATCTGATTCTGAGCCTAGATTATTTCTTTTTTGGTGACTTTTTGTTTTTGTTTGTTTGTTTAAGATTATATTTGGGAATTTAAATATCTTTTTGTTCAGCGCAACTACATGCTAGAAAGCCTGGAATTGCACACAACATCGTGGTCATCCTGTGAGTGCTTGTTTGATGATGATATAAGGGCAGTGACGTTTAAAGCAAAATTCCAGAAAGGGCCGCCCTCTGTTGTGAAGATGTCAGAATTAGCAACACACTTAGAGGATAAGCGTTCAGGTAAGATCTTTATATACGTAAGATATTGCTAGTTTTTTTTTTTTTTTTTTAACTTTTTTTTTTTTAATGTTTTTTTTTTTATTTATTTCTATGAGAGAGAGAGAGAGAGAGACAGTGTGAGCCGGGGAGGGTCAGAGAGAGAGGGAGTCACAGACTGAAGCAGGCTCCAGGCTCTGAGCTGGCAGTCAGCACAGAGCCCGATGCGGGGCTCGAACCCACGAACTGCGAGATCATGACCTAAGCGAAAGTCGGACGCTTAACCGACTAAGCCACCCAGGCACCCCAAGATATTGCTAGTTTTAATATAAGCAAGGGAAGCTACCATTTGTGGGGAAAAATGTACAATTAAACATAAAAGTGAAATACAGGTCATTGTAAATAGCTGAACCAGATATTTGTATCTTCTGATCTCTCTGCCTATCAGTCCTTTGAGGTTACGTTGTAATTATTAGGGAGTCACTTAAAAATATTTTTTGCATATATGTACAAGCAGCTCATCATTTAATAAACCAGAAATAGAAAAATGAGCCTAACCAGAGTGACTGTTGAGATAAGCATTTTATCAAGTTATTAAGCTGTTATCTAAAAAAAAGAAAAGCTGTTATCTATACATGGTTGTTAAAATTTAGCATTGATATAGAATCTATGCAATTTGCTTACTGCTTAGTAAAATATACTCTCTAAACTCACATATTTGTATGTGAGCGTGTGTGCATGTATGTGTATAAAACTCATCCTCAGAAACACTACATGGAAGAATGCTTTTGACAGTGGATTGTATTCACATACACGCTGTCCATGAACTTAATACCATTAAAGTAATTGAGTGTAGTAGTAAAAGGAGTATGTTTTAGGTTCAATATGTTATACACTTTGAAATGAAGAGAGTAAAATAGTGAAAATAACTAGATAAAGTGATACAATTTGAGTAAGAAATACTTCTAATAAATTGCATTGGCTTCCTAAGTACAGAGATGATGCTAAAAATATGCTAACTCCTAGCTGGAGGTATAACAAATTAAACAGCTTTGAGGCTATATTTAAGGTTGCTGAATGCCAGCAATGAATCAGTAAATGTCAGTGATCATCAATCTTGGAAACTAATAAAATGTTTTCCAGTGGCTATTATAGCAATTGTTTTTAGAGGGGGAAAAGAGTGTTGAAAAAAATGGAATGTATCTGTAGGTTTATTGTTATATAATTTAAATTAGAATTTAAATTTTGCATGAGTAATTTTCCAAATTCTTATAGATGGTTTTAGATTTTATTAAATGCTAGGTGTGGTTTAAGTAAAGTAAGATTACTTTTACAATTCTAATAACAAAGGATCTGTTCCAAAATGAAATGAGTTGAAGCTCCTAACAGATCACATGCCCAGATTCTCAAGTATATTTCTGAGCCTTTTTGCTGGCATGCTATGCCCCCTTTTGGTACATCCACAGAAATGTGTAAGTTGTTTCATAGGCAGAGCAGAAGATCTACCAGAGTGCTTTTCAATTACGGCTCAAAGTGTTATTGTTTTTTTTTTAAACATTTTTAAATGTTTATTTAGTTTTGAGAGGGAGACAGAATGTTAGCAGGGGAGGGGCATAGAGAGAGAGACACAGAATCTGAAGCAGTTTCCAGGCTTTGAGCTGAGAGCACAGAGCCCAACGTGGGGCTTGAACTCACAAACTGCAAGATTATCCTGAGCCGAAGTCAGATGCTTAACTGACTGAGCCACCCAGGCACCCCTCAAAGTGTTGACTTAAAAAGATTTTTAACAGAGTTTTTAGGGTATAATTTGGATACAATGAATCCCCTTTGTTTGAAGTATATACATTCACACTGCGGAGTTTTGTTTGATAGGAAACCCGTGAAATCCCATCACCGGTCTGCCCCTTTGTAATCTTTCCCTTCCACACATGCCTGCCCCCTGATCCTTCCTGGTAATCAATCTGCTTTCTATTCACTAGAGATTAGTGATATGATTTTTATATGATTTTTTCTTTTCTATGATTTTTATACATGGAATCATATTATGTACACTGTTTTGTTTGGCATCTTTAAGCAAATTCTTTTGAGATGATCTGTGCTTTTGTGCATATCAGTAGTTCATTCCTTTTCTGTTGTATGAATGCACTCTGATTTGTCTGTTCATCTGCTGATGGACATCGGGGTTATTTCCAATTCTTGGCTATTATAAGTAAAACTTCTATAAACATTCCATGTATAAAGTGTTAGATGGACATAGTCTTTTCTGTTTTTGTGGGTAGGTACCTAGGAGTTAAATAAATAGTTGTATTGTATGGCAGGTGTATGTTTAATTTTTAAAGAAACTGCCAAACTGTTTTCCAAAGTAATTGTAGCATTTTGCTTTTCCATCAAGCAGTGTATGGGAGTTCTATTTTTCCCACATACACATCAACGCTTGGTTTGGGCATTCTTTTTAATGTATGTAAAGATAGGTAGTTGTGGTTTTAACTTGCATTTCCGTATTGGCTAATGATATTGAGCATCTTTTCATGTACCTCATTGCCATCGATATGTCTTCTTTGATGATGTGTCAACTGAAATTTTTTGCCCGTTAAAAAACAAGGGTTGATTATTTTCTTATTATTGAATTTTGAGAGTTCTTTATATTCTGAATCAAAATTATTTATTAGTTACTTGCTTTGCAAAGATGTTCTCCCAATCTATCACTTATCTTCTAGTTCTTTTTAACGAGGTTTTTTGAAGGCCCCAAGGTTTGAGTCTTGATGAACTCCAGTGTATCCATTTTTTAAAAAAATGTTTATTATTTTGAAAGAGAGCGAGCACTCGTGTGAGCAGAGGAAGGCAGAGAGAGAGGGAGAGAGAGAAGACCAGGCAGGCTCTGCACTGACAACACCAGTGGAGTCAGTGCAGAACCTGACACAAGCGTTCCATCTCACAAACTAACTGCGAGATTATGACCTGAGCCTAAATCAAGAGTCAGCCACTTAACCTACTGAGCCACCCAGGCACCCCTGGAACACTCTTTATTTATGTTTAGTGGTTTAATATAAAGGATACAACTCAGGAACAGCCAAATGGAAGAGATGCATAGGGCGAGGTATGGGTGAAGGGGCACAGAGCTCCCACACCCTTTTCAGGTGCTCCCAGCACCTCAATGGGTTCATGGACCCAGAAGCTCCTTGAACCCTTTTGTTTAAGGGTTTTAATCAAGGTTTCATTATATAGGCATGATTGGTTAAATCACTGGATGTTTGTGATTAACTCAATCTCTAACCTCTTTCCACTCCCCAGAGTTTGGGTGATGGAGCTGAAAGTTCCAATTCTCCAACCATGCATTGGCCTTTCTGGTCATCAACCCCCTCCCCGCCAAGATCTGAAGCTGCCCATGGGCCCCCAGCTGCCAGTCTTCATCTTATTAGCATACAAAAGTCACTCTTATCACTTGAAGATTCAAGCATTTTTTGGGAGCTCTGTGCCAGGAACTAGGGACAAAGAGCAAATATTTATTTTTTATTGTATAACAAGATGGGAGCCTAAATCTGGTCCGCATTTCTACCTTGGCCAAGTGCCAGATTAAAATTTTCTGAGTAGTGTAGTGTTAATCCATATGTGTATGTGTATATGTTTTCCAAGATATGATTATAGGTTACCATTATTAAGTCTAAGGAGAATGCAAGTGGAAAACAAAAACAGTAACACCTCTCAAAGAGCTCAATTTTTAATGAAATACAGAGATTTATTCTCAGAGAAGAACTCTATATATCCAGTCTACGTTGCAACATATATTAACACTAACAGTTAATTTAAATTAATACTTCTCGGGGTGCCTGGCTGGCTCAGTCAGTAGAGCATGCAACCCTTGATTTTGGGGTTGTAAGTTGAGCCCCATGTTGGGTGTAGAGATTACTTAAAAATAAAATCTTAAAAAATTACTGTATCTGAAAGATAAAATACAGATGACAGAATATATACAAATTTTTATACTGCTTTATATTTATGCACCCCTCCTGTTCCCTTCTGCCCCCAAGAGCACTATAGACTTATGGCGCTGGTCACTGCAAAGAAGGTATGCCACAGGTTAGTTGACAGGCTACATTTAACTTATTATCATGGAGAAGTCAGCTCTATCATCTACTGCTTATGCAGAATAGCTCTCTTCTGGAGTTGAAGATGTAGAATTAGATTTTAAAATAAAAATGACTGTCATAAACAGTAACCAAATAGGTGCTCACAGCTCTGAAGATGTGGTTTGGGGGATGAACCTTTGGATTGGGAATGTCCTTGCAAACCCTGGCGATGGACTCCCCCTTGGTAAACTATGCAGAGACTTTGAGCTGTTACAGTTGGTCCCTGGTAGGCTGTGTTCAGAGAGGTCCTTTTAGCCATTTTTCCTTTTTTTATGTTCACTTATGAGGGCTGAATTCATAGTTTCTATCATTGTATATGTGTTTTTAAGACAGAAATGGATAGAGCATATAGAGGTAGAAGCAGTTTTTCTTGACATGTTTCATAGTTAAATAAAAGAAGGGAGAAAGGGAGCTCAACATGGGACAATTTTCCAAGAGGGTCTGTTCTCTTAACAAAACTTAATAGAAGCTGGATGGGGTGAGGCTGCGTCTGGCTCCTTATAAAGAAATGAAGATGCTTACTCAGCATCTGGTCCTGCTATCAGCAGAATGCCAGTGCCCAGCAGGCTATTAAGCCCCCTTGAGACAGAATCCACATTAATAATGAGCTGTTAGTTCTTTTACAGAGGTGTATAAATTTATAAAATGTTAGTGATATTAGCATTCTTCTAAAATTATTAATTTTTTCATTAATTTCTTAGTGATTCAACATGTCTGTGGAAAGATGTGATATAGAGTCTGCTCTAGTTTATTAGGTATACTAACCACTACATACTCTTCTAATTCACGTAGGGAAACAGGACATGATTGGAAAAGTCTTTGGGCGCCAAAAGACTAAAGCAAACAGAAGGATTTAGGAAAGTCACCATTAGTGGGAATCTTAAAGAGATAACCCGCAAAGAGAATAGGTAGCCAGAAGGGAGAGTTCCTGACCTGGAGTATACTCCCTACTAAAAGGATGAAGAAGAGCAAATCCAAAGACTTTAAAAAAAAAAAAAAAAAAGGCTTTAAACGAATCTGGAGAGAAAGGGAGATGAACTCAGATAAACTCACAGACCTCCCTAGTATATAATACAGCAAGAGTGAATTAGAGAAAAAGAATGTCTGATAGATAATAGATACTCAGTATTTGTTTAACGGGTGAATTGTATGTGCCAGTGAGCAGTGACTGCACATGCTCAGTGTCCTGGTGAGTCATTCATTTCGTAAATGCAGACTTTCGGTGCCCATGTGCTGTGTAACCTATGCCCAGCGTCTGGGTGGTGATGGGCAGGAAACTGAAAAACAAAAACAGAGTTTAAACAGAGGATAAGCTAATGGTATATTATTTTGGATAAAGTAGAGACTGAAAGAATAACTGACCTGCTATTTGGCTTTCTGTAATGATCACTTAAAAAAAAAAAAAAAGGCAGGACAGGGAGAGAGGGTATGTTAGCTAGTTTCAAGCGTTGAAGGGATTTCAAGGGATTTGAAAAAGGGATAGATCTTATTCTGCATGATGCCAGAGGACAGAGAGGAAGAAAACACCCGCCTCTGTAACCAAACTCCCTGAATATATCTTCACTTTTAGCTACTGGCAGCTCACCCTCACTTTCCAGGTGAAACACTGAAGTTGCAAGCGAGTGAGATCGTCCAGGGAAAGAGTGAACAAGAGAAGGCGAAGAGCGAGTCCGCAGGGATATCCTTCACTATAAAAGTGACCGCATCCACCATGTCATTAACCATGTTTGTAAATGACAGATATAATTTTGATCCTGTCATTTATACATACTTCTTTTTGTTGGTCTCTTGTAGGAGTGATTCTAATCAAAGCCTGGATTTTAGAGCTAGTGATTCCTGTGACAGCAGCTCAGAAGATAACCCTGAATGCCCACAGCTCCCTGAGGAGCCTCCTCTCTTCCCTTCCTGACATTGTATACACTGGCTGTGCAAAGTGCGGATTGGAACTGGAAACAGATGGGAACAAGATCTATAAACAGTGCTATAGCTGCTTGCCTTTCACTATGAAGAAGCTGTACTACAGGTGAGGAGTCAGGCAAGCCCATGGGATGGAAGATACTTATTATTATAGGACCGGAAATGACCAAAAACTCGTATATATCAATTCTTACTTTCTAAAGAGAACTAACTAGAGCTAAATCCAAGAGAATACATTTTCCCCTGAATGATAAATGGCTATTTATGAAATAAAAAATAAAAAATTATCCAGTAATCACAGCAGGGATTTTTAAAAGCAGTAATGGGGAGATTTTATTGTCTTCAAGCAGCTATACTGAAGAAAGTTTTTATTTGGTTTATATTTTTAACCAAGATCCAGATGGCTCATGATAAACTGATTTCCATACCTTAACATATAAGTGGGATTTAAAAGTTAAAAGCATTCTATGATCTAACCTCTCAGTTATGGAAGCTAATGAGATGTTTAACTTTTCTGTGCCTGTTTTCCCAACTTCACATTAGAAATTAAGGATTGCAAATGTTCTTTGGTAAAATTGCAAACCATCCCAGGGGAAAACATGTTTTTCAAATAATAAATGTTCAGAGTTATGGATAATATTTTTCTTACCTTCTGAGTTTACGTACCTTTACACAATAGTCATCTGTGTCTTATGCTCTTTTCTATTTCTAATTACTGCCGTATTTAAAAACTAAATGCACATGTACTCAGCGTGTTATCCTGGTACACATTAAGAACATTTTCAGAAGCTTAATCCATAACCCTATCTCCCCTTACATACATGTGTTATAAATAAGTAAGTACAATTTGCTCTTACTCTGTAGAGGAAGATCCAAAGCAGAAAGTTCCTCCCCATCAACCCCCTCCACCACCAGTGCCACTTCATATGTAAAATTTAACGTGTAAGACATTATTTCTAATATCAACATAGAAAAGTTTAAAAGATACAAAAGCCTTACAGTGAAAATATCCCCTACCCCCTGCCTCCACCCAGTGGGTCCTGGGCCTCTGTCCAGACATAGGCCGTGCGTGTGCCTGCCCAGATTTCACTTCCCTGTGACACACAGCACTCTCTCCCCGTCTCATCGTTTTCACTTTGGAAAGCAGTGCACATCAGTGGTTAGGGAGCGTTCTCACACCTGTAGTTGGCTGCCTTGTGTTCTGTACCTGAATAGATAGAATATATTGAACTGGTGCCTTGTGGGTAGACAGTGAGGCATCCCAGTGTGATGGAATTGCTAACAATATTGCAGTGCACGCCCTGAGACACATGCTGCTCCTCTGAGTGATTGTACGGCTGCAGGCTAGCCTCTGTGGGCTCCTCACCTTGACGGATACTGGCAGGGGGCCTTCCGTAGACGCTGGATCAATTCCATACTTCCTTCACCAGTGTATGAGAGTACCCACTGCCCCATAACCTTGCCAACAAGAACCATGCTCCTCAACCATCTAGTAGTTGGAAATGGTAGCTCATTGGACTTTTAATTGTATTTCTCTCATGAGAAGTGAGTTTGAACTTTTGTTGTTGGTGGTGGTGGTTTAAGAGCTATTTGCTTTTACTTTCCTGCAAAGCTTTTTTCTATGTTTTCATGACCTTTGCCATTTTTCTATGGGTAATTGTAGGAAACCTTCTAGTGAAGACATGAGCGCTTTTTTTTTTTTTTTTTAATTTCTATCCAGGTTAGCAGATAGTGCAATAATGATTTCAGGAGTAGGTTCCAGTGATTCATCCCCTATGTATAATACCCAGTGCTCGTACCAACAAGTGTCCTCCCCAATGCTCCTTACCCATTTAGCCCATCCCCCCACCCACAGCCCCTCCAGCAACCCTCAGTTTGTTCTCTGTATTTAAGAGTCTCTTATGTTTTGTCCCCCTCCCTGTTTTTATATTATTTTTGCTTCCCCTCCCTTATGTTCATCTGTTTTGTATCTTACATTCCACATATGAGTGAAGTCATATGATATTTGTCTTTCTCTGATTGACTTATTTTGCTCAGTGTAATACTCTCCAGTTCCATCCATGTTGTTGCAAATGGCAAGATTTCATTCTTTTTGATTGCTGCATAATACTCCAGTGTGTGTGTGTGTGTGTGTGTGTGTGTGTGCATGCGTGTGTGTGTGTGTCTCTGTGTGTGTATATATAAATACCACATCTTCTTTATCCAGTCATCTGTTGATGGACATTTGGGCTCTTTCTATACTTTGGCTATTGTTGATAGTGCTGCTCTACACATTGGGGTGCATGTGCCCCTTCGAAACAGCACACCTGTATCCCTTGAGTATATACCAAGTAGTGCAATTGCTGGGTCATAAGATAGTTCTATTTGTAACTTTTTGAGGAATTAAAATGGACTCTGCATAAAAACCCAGTGCTCTTTGAAATGACCTTGTATTTAAGTATTTCTTTAATTTGAAAACCTTGTTGAGGGTCGTGTGTTATTTGTTGTTTTGTAGGCCAGCTTTAATGACCATCAGTGATGGAGTACATAAAGTTTGTGTCCATGTAGGATCAGAGCTGATTGAGAAGATACTACTTAACATTTCTCCTGACTGGCTCAACACAGTTGTTGGTAAGGGATCAACATGCCATGCAGAGGCCATTCTTTTCCAGGGTGTCCACAGTATACTGGAGCAGAAAAAAACACTATGCTGTAAATTAAGGGTTTTTTCTTTTCTATCCACGTAAAAGCAGAGGATAATTTAGCTTGAGGGAAACAAAGAGGACATCAGTTGGCAGATAAGACCTGCCCTCTACCAGCTGTGCAAGCTAAGCACTGTCTTGTATCTCTGGGGTTCTTGAGTGGTCCTGCCCCTCTCCCAACAGTAGGGCACCCCTGATGGTCTTGATCCTGGGTGGTTTCCTGCCCCTCCCCCAGGAATGGGGGGATTTTTCTTTCACCCCCCCACCCCATCCTGTCTTCAGCCCTGGGGCAATAGGATTTGTGAGTCCCTCCCTTGAGCACTTTAAGGCTCTTGTTCCTTAAAGGAAGGGGAAGGGGCGGGGCTGGGAGTGGTTTGTGTTTTCCTTGTGGCAACTTCTCCCCTTCTCCAGGCCTCTCCAGGTAGAAGCATTCTCTCTGTCCTGCCCCGCATCCAGGCTTGTGAGCACCTGGGAGGGATGAGAAAAGGTCGCGAGGGTACAGTGACACTGGCCTACACTAGGCTTTTAGCAAGTCCTTAAAATTGTAGCTCACCCGGCTGAACATGTGCTCCTGCTCTGTCTCCTCTCCCTACAGTGGGCATGGCTGCCTCACTGCCTCTGCCTTCTTAGAGGCTCAGTAAATTGTGATTTTGTAGTTTCTTCAGTTTTTCTAATAATTGTTAGGGTTGGAGCCATGTTCTTTCCAGCTTTTCACATCCTAACTGGAAGTCTCTCTGTTCTTTTTTTCTTCCCTGTCTTTATTAACTTTCATTCTTTTGGCTCTTTCAGGCCTTCTCTCAAGGTTCTTTGTTGTATTTTCAGTCTTGTCTCTTCATTTTGGGCACAATACCAGTTAGTCTCCATTTCTCAGAGAAGCACTGTCATCCTCAGATCAAGTATATATCTGTATTTTGCCCACAGAGTCAAAGTTGTCCTTTTAGGCATTAATTAAATTGTAACCCTAAGGGAAAATGTGGGCACCAGTTATAAAATGGGCATCAGACCATTCAAATGATAACTAATCTTGATTTTTTTAAGCTTATCCAAGTGAAAATACAAAATAAAATAAGTATTGTAAGAGAATTCTCTCACCTCCAAAAATACATGATTGGCTGCCCAGGAGTCTGTAAATGTGTTCCAAGAAAGGCTGGTGGCATTGGTCAGGGAGCAAGTGTAGCTTGACGTGTGCCTGGTCCATCTAGTGTGGACCACCCCACTCAATAACTGGATTTGATGTCCAAAAAAGCAAAAGGAAGCATATAGGACAAGTGTAAAACTACAGTGACATAGCTATATCTATAATTTCAGTATTTTTATATTATCAAGATTTGATATTTATTGAGTAACTGATTTAAGGTTCTGTTATATAAACTATATATATATATGTATGTATATAAAATATACATATATGTGTCTATAAAACATACATACATATATACATATATGTATATATACACACATATATGTATATAAAACTGATAAGGGCTGTAGACTGGATAAAACGAGTTCTTTTCTGACACGGACACACTCCTTTTGTTTCAGACTTGAGTTAAGAAGATGCTAATCTCAGTTCTTTCCTCTGTTGTTTTAAGAAGCCAACAGCTGTGCCAAAATAGGAAATGCTTTCAGTGTGTCTGTGACCTGCAAGATTTGTGGGCCATCATTGTAGAGTGTCTTCTGCACCCATGACTAGAAAGAGAAGGGATGGAAAGAGAAATTTAAAGTGGGTTTGGGGCTGGAGAAAGCAAGGGGGAACAGTGAACCCTTCGCTGTGTGCGTTTCTGTCATTGGGCAAGGGACGCTAAGGGCCGTGTGTGTTTCCTTGTTCCCTAGCCCCTTCCTCAGAGATCACGTACGGCATGGTCGCAGCAGACTTGTTCCACGCGCTCTTGGCAGACGGAGGGGCACCTTGTGCTGTGAAGCTGCAGAGCCTCTTCGTGCTGGATGAAAACAGCTTCCCCTTGCAGCAGGAGTTCTCCCTCCTGGATTTTTATCCTGACAGGGGAAAGCCCATGCCCGGTGCCCTTCTCTGAGACCCCGTGAAGAAATCTCAGGTACAGGAGGGACCACTGGAATGATTTGTCTCAAAATAAATGAATGACAGGGATTTTCCTTGGATTTTGAGAAAATATATTTTTTTATACGGAGAATTGTGTTCAATATATAAATTGAAACTTTTTTTCTAAGAAAATTCTGTGAGGTTTTCTGTTTGTTTTTTGGTCTTTTCCTTTCCAGCAGGGTCTATTAATAAAGGCAACATGTAGCAGTGCCCTGGGAGTTAAAGTTTTGCTCTACTGGTCCTGCTCCATTCCAGCTATGTGGAGCTTCCAGCTAAGTCCACAGGACACAGACGGAAGCCGTTTCCTCAGGAGTTGTTTTTCTGCCCTGCTCGCAGGCTCCCTGGCTTTCCTTAATCCTACTGTAAGGAACTGCCGATGTGAAATGATCTTCTTGGTTATAACCACACATGACAGTGGGTTAGTTGGTAGAAGCCTGTGTTTAGACAAGTTCAGGACAAGCTTATCTCTCTATAAAGAAGCATTTGAAAACGAAGGGAACGAGATCCTGCTTCACCTGGTGTTATAAAAGGAGGAACTAACTATGTTGTTAGTTCATTTCTAGGATCCGATTGCCTTACTGAGCTGACTTACTAACAAACGTTTAGCCGTTTGCTCTCTCACGATTGTAGAAGGAGCTCGTGCAAAAGAGTGGTCATGATGAGGAGGTGGTGCTTAGCCCGGATGTTTGGAGTATGCTGAGGGGTAATAGATCAGTACTATTGCTTGAAAATACCTAAGTTCATAATTAAATGAACAAGTTTGTTTTTCCGTGCATGTACTTGTAAAAATTCTTTTGGTTCGTTGAAATTGTTTTCTCGAATTCAGGGTTTGTTAGATTCCTTTTTTTTTTTTTTTAACTTGGCTTTTCTAAAAATGAACCTCAGGACTTTTGTGATCCTCCCCAAAATAATAGCAAAGCTGTGTGTGAGAGAGTGCCCACATACGAAAGCACATCTTTCTGTGGAGGAGGTCAGGAGTTTTCAGCAAATCCTCGGAGCCATCCTTGACCAAAAGAAAAGTGGGGTAGGGGAGGAACAGGTGCTTTGCTTGGTGAGTTAATTCCTGGGGAAGTAAAGGGATTAAATGAAATGATTGCTAAGGTTTTATCCAGCACCCAGTAAGGTGGGTAGAAAAAGTTGTCCCTGTGTGTCCCCAGAGGTACTGGAATTCAAAGAGAACAGTTGGTGCTCCCAGATAATTCCTGTGACGGGTGATGACTCTCATCCCAGAGCTGATGTCTTCTAAGCCATGCTTTTTCGGCTGTAACCACAGGAGAAGCAAATCTGGAGTTCTGATATAAAATCCGCCCAATCAGGGTGAGCCCACCAAGGACACTATTCTCTTAAACTTGCCCTGCCCCACTTTGTCCTCAAGATGCGGCCTAATTCTTTTACCAACCAAAGCGTAGCTCCCCGGAATAGATGGCTCGTCACACCCTCTTGGGAAGAAGTCTTTAAGCCATTTCAAGTGAGACGCAGAGTAGCAGGTCACACCAATCTCTCTTCACAGCTTTTGGTACATAGTTCATGGGCTAACACAGATTTCCAGGAACCCTTATTCAGGCTGAAAATGACTTCCTGTGTCCCAAGGAAATTATCATCTATTTAATTGGGATCAGGGGAGCCACAGCTCCCAGGTATATTCCTTATCTGAGATGTACAGGTAAGTATATTTAACCTACTCCATAAATGTTTATAAAATTCAATTGGGTAGCCTAAGAATGTCAGCCAATCCAGCATTCTGTATCTGGCAACCCCATAGTAGACATTTGAGGGAAACATCCTCTTTCATCTTTGGACAGTCCGGCCGAGAGGGACAGCTCTCCCGTCTTAGAGAACCATTAGTACTTGGTATTAAACGACAGCTTCTCCAATAGCTGTTAGAAGCACCCACTGTTCTCCACACTAGTGAGATCTATGCTAAATCTCCTTTTATATCTTGAGGTGGTTTTTTAGGGGTGGGGTTTCTGATCTTCAAGAGGTGGGACAGAATCGAACACGTGATCCACCTTGCAGGCTTTTGCTGAGAATTCACCATAGACAAAGCACTGGGAATTTAAAGACAAATAAGAAGGCCCGCCTTCAGTGAGTTCATAGGCAAGCTGGGAAAGAAATATTTAAACAAAAGTTTATCAATGCTAGAATTAAATCTGTGTGGAAAAGGCAAGAGAAGTCATAGAAGGATGAGTTTATTTGGACCGTTGGTTGCAAGTGATCACAACCCAACTCACACTAGCTTGAGCAAAAACAAGGGGAAGATACTGGCTCATATAACTGAAGGTAGTACTGGCATCCAACTACAGTTGCATCCATTGGCTTAAATTTTGTGATCTGGTCACCCCACCCCACTAATTCTTTCTTCCCCTTCCCTTCAGTTTTTTCCATTGTTTCTCTTCTTGCCCTGCCCTCTCCCTCTCTCCCGTTCCCTGTCTCTCCCTCTCTCCCGTCCGGTGTTTCTGTTTCCCTTTCCTGTCCTTTCTCACCTATCATCTTCCCCTTCTTTTTCTCTTTCCTTCCTATCTTTTTCAAGTTTATTGATTTATTTTGAGAGAGGGAGGGAGAGGAGGAGGGCAGAGAGAGGAGGAGAGAGAGAATCCCAAACAGGCTCCACAGAGCCCGATGTGGGGCTTGAACTCACAAACTGTGAGATCATGCGTGACTCAGCCAAAATCAAGAGTCAGCCACTTAACTGACCAAGCCCCCCAGCCACCCCCTTCTATCTTCCCTACCTATCCACATGGAGAAAAGATGGCTATAGGAAGCCCCAAGCTTTCTTCTTTACAGAATGAGAGACTTTCTTTTTGTGAGTGTCCGTATAACAAATTTCATGGAAGCACTCTGAATCTGCTTAGGTTACCTACCCCTCCCCCAGGTAACCAAGGGTGGGTGGGACACGGGGTTTGAAAGAGCTAGAACCACATAGGATGAAAGGAACCTTTCCTTAATGGAAGGAGAGTTCTAGGCAGACACAGCTGTGTTGCTGCTGTGGAAGATGTAAGAAGGCTTCATAGGGGAAATATTTAACCTGCCTCTGTACATGTGAGATGTGTTCACCATGAAAACAGTGGTGTGCATAAAATAGCATGGCATATTTGGGAAATGGGAACATCTCAAATGGGACTGAGAAAAATGAGCTCCCCTCTCCCCCAGAATGCATAGGGGAGACCAAAGACACTTCAGTAAGGACAGGACATCTCTAAAGAAATCCTTACTCGTAAAGCATTGGAGTGTTTATCTATAGGTTCAGTTTGGTATTGAGAAAAAATATTGATTTGTGCATATAGCACTGAATTATGTTTATCTACTGACATTACTGAGATCCTGTACCGATTTTTGAGCCATGAAATAGAGTAACACGAGGGTGCTAGGAAGCCATAGCCAAGTTCTATTGCATTCCAGATACTTGACTGGCCATTGCAATTCAGGCTTTGAAATGTGGTTGGTTATGATTTAAAATGAACCTGGAAATTGAATCTAAAGGTATCAGTGATAAGTTTACTATAACACTTCATGTCCTGAAAGTCACATTCATGGGGTTTGAAGCACATCCCCAGAGGGCTTTTATTTCATATGCTGTTGTGCAAAAAAGAGTGGACTCTATAGAATTTTGATAGAATAGCTTTCTCACAGTGATCATAAACTATCATCCTCAGAATTTTTCTAAACTACTGTGATCCAGGGCCATGAGTTATTTATAACTAGTCTTACATTACTTTAGTTTCAGTATAACCTAAATAGGCGACTGAAGGCCTATTATCTGGCTTTCTTAGAAGAAAATCTCTCTAATTTCCCAGAACAATATACAATGAAGCAGAAAATGTACCATCCCTATATCTTCCATTTTAACATTAAAAAAAAATTTACTTAGAGCACAAGCTGGGAAGGGGCAGGGAAGGGAGGAAGGGAGGGAGGGAATCGCAAGCCCCTGGTGTGAGGCTCCATGTGGGGCTCGTGAGGTTCAGTGTGGGGCTCGTTCTCACGAATCTTGAGATCGTGACTTGAGCCGAAATCAAGAGTAGGACGCTCAACTGACTGAGTACCCAAGTGCCTCCGTTTTTCGTTTTAAATGACAAATTTGTATTCTGGAGGGTTTCTAGATGGTGCAGTACAGGCAGAATAATTAGAATAAAGTGTCAGCTTTCCTGGGAGTTTAACTCTGGTCCCCATTATAAGGTCTATAGCGTGAGGAATATATGAGAGGGATGGAGGTTTGCCAGTTAGTTGTTATTCTGCCTTTGGGGGTCTTGATCCTGGTTTGTTATCAGGACGTTGACTCCACCCACTCAAGGAATATATTTGCTAAGTGTGAGCTCTCTGCTTCCAAGTAGAGGAGGAGGTACTGCCACTGGAGGGAGGGCATGCACTGGCGCTGAGATGACCCCTCCCCATATCCCCAGTCCCCTGAGGCTCAGCTCCTGCAGCGACTGGGGGCAGGGAGGAAAGGACAGGGGGCAGGAGTTTTATGACAAACTGGCTTCCTACAGCGACCCTCTCTCTGTGATGGTCCTGACCACAAGTGCCTTCTGTGCAGCAGGTCCCCAACACGCCTCTTTCTGCCCCGGGTTCCAGTTCACCTCTTTCTGTAGCGGGTTCCAGTTCTCCAGAGGGCTTCCCTTTCTTCTACAGCATCTGCACAGGGTCCCAGTATGGGAGATCAACTGTCTGCCTCCTCTTCCACCCCTCAGCTCCCTCCTGGTGTCACCTCTTCATGCCGGCTCCTGTCTCTGATTCACTTCACTCCATGCTCAGATAAGCACGAGGCAGCTGGTCAGCAAATTCTCTGCATAACCAGACATTGGACAGGCTGAGGGACTGTCCTTATTTGCATAGTGTGTGTAGTAGAGTTCAACTTATATAACACTGTGATCATACCCTGTGGAAGAATCTTACCAGTACGGTACAGTAATTTCCCTGGGTGAGGAATCAGGGCCTGGTTTTACTTTCTCCTTTATTACTGTTTTTTTGTTTTGTTTTTTAGTTTATTTTTATTTATTT